TTCGACATCTTTAATAAACAACAGTACAAAGTAAAGATCCTAATTTGAGCACATCATAACAGATTGCAAACATGAAAACATAAAAAGCCTTTTAAAAGGAGGTATAAACAAATTTATTCTAAGAATTATAAACAGAAGTAAAAAATTTTCATTGATACTAGAATAATTACAAAATCTGGGGTTGTCAAGTGCTCACTCCACATTACAAAATCTAAATGTCTATATTTTGAATAACACTAAACATAATAGAGATTGTTTAAAAACTTTTTAAATGTCCTTACTGGGACATGTAATTGTAGGTTGCTGCTCTGCAAACATATTTACCTATTATCAAGTAATATAAAAATTACATCACGGTTCTTGCTACATTAATGACAGGTATCTTGTAACAATCGCGCTCAGCACATAAAAAAATTTAGTCCTGACTAATGAACGGCTGTTTTGTTCTCGCTAGGCAAGCAATGCAAGCCTCACTCTGTGACCTTGTGGCTCCTGGATATGTCACTGCAGCAGAGCACACATTTCTTTGGAAGTATCACTTTAAAAATTACATGAGACATGGCAAAGAAAAACACATCCTCAGGCATCAAAAACCTCTCAGTCCTCTTTGTAAAGGAATGATAATGTCTGAATAAGCAAATCAAAAACAGAAAAGCAGAATTGGCCCCCAAAATCATCCAAAGCAACGGAGTAACTAGTTACTCCTCTTTTTCTACATAAATATTTTAACTTACTCTAGACAAGAACATATTCTACGGCAGCACCCTAACTCCCTGAGGAAGTGGGAATGTTTAGCTAAGTAGTCCAAACAGGAATATCAAATATCCATCCACAAAAGCAGCAGACTGGAATATGCACATTTTAATCCCCTCTATACAAGCAACATGGCTATTTGATTGATTTTGTAAGTGTCTGATCATCTACAAAGCATTCCAAACAACTATGACTGATCAATGGCTGACAACCAATAAACACAAAGAAACAGAAGCCTGAAAATACTCAGAATTGGTAAAGCAAGTGCACAGATGGATCGGGGTAAAATTATACTGATAAACTCTTTTATCCTATTCGATAGAGGGGAGGTAAAACTTACCAAATGTACTCTTATTAAAAAGAAAACTAGCTCTAGAAAAATCATGCTATGATCGTATTATTAATTTTTTCCAACAAAAACCACATGTCCTCTGACATATATCTTTTCTAAAACCACATGGAAAGTATTTATTTCATTCTGGCTTTTCCAAGTAGAATTTAATCATACTCTAGACATTTTCCCAATAACATGCAGATAATACACAGAAAATGATGTAAAAAGTTGTCCTCTTTTTATCATGTCTACATGAAAAGTATGTAATTTAAAGTGTCACTTGACAAGAGGAAAAGATAGTATAAAATGCCAAGAAATTCATCTCAGTCAAACAAAGTAACAATATCACATATACTGAATACATTCAAATTCCCACATTAGCTTTGCCAAAATTACTGGTGTAGTTTTTTTGTTGTTGTTGTTTTGTAAGTTACAAGTTCAAACCAGTGGCTCTTACACTGTTTGAAAACAAGCAACGGCACAATAACTTTACTTGTTCACAGATAATCTGCTGAAGACTATTAGTATGCATGTATCTAATGAGGTTCCCACAAAATTGTTAGGTTCCTTTTGATTAAGAAAAAGAAAAAGAAGAAACAACTATTGAATAGGATGAAAAATACAACACGTAATGTTAAAAAGAAGCTTCTAACTCTGAATACAAGCCAAAGTCATCACTAAGTACCAGCAAATTAACATCTTGAGAAACAAGATTATTGACTCAACAACTATTTATTATCTGTTAAGTGCCAAGAGTGCTAGGTTCCCTGCCTTTAAAGAGCTCACAGACAGGCAGGGAAGACGTACAAGGACAAAATCACAACACAGTGAAGATTATTGACTCAACAACTATTTATTATCTGTTAAGTGCCAAGAGTGCTAGGTTCCCGGCCTTTAAAGAGCTCACAGACAGGCAGGGAAGACGTACAAGGACAAAATCACAACACAGTGAGGTAAATGCTACAACAGCCTGGCACACAAAAAATGAAGAACCCCATAGTACTTGAAACAAATGGTTTTAAGTCCAGATTGCAATACTGATGGATAAAGGCCCTATATTCTCTTTTCTGGAAATGCTAGGTACAGTGGTGGGCTGTTTGGGGTAGGCTCATTAACATGACATCCCTTCCATAGAGGAGACCACCAGAGGGCTATGGGCACACCAGTCACGACACAAACACTTCCCTGTATTTAATCAGGCATATCACCAACCTGCATTTCTTGAAAAACACATCATTAATAAATACCTAGAAACTAATCAGCTATGTTTGACCTTATGATGGTGGAATTTCTAAGCTTTACTTAAGAAAAATACATATAGTTACATTTGTTCAACTACCTTTAATAATTGGAAGACACTGAAGAACTTGGAAAGTAGCAAAACAGTACATTAAGCAGGCAAAATAAAGGCCAGTATCTGTTCCCTAAAACAACATACATCACATGGAAGGCAGTCCCAAACAAACTGAAAATCTATATATGTTTATTTTAGAGGTGATTCTTGTAAGCCAGCTAGAACTAGAAAACAAGGGAAGAGTGAGCAGAGTAAGTAACAGGTCACAACTGACAGAAGGGAGGAGATTTAAAGGAAGAAAGTAAAAAGAAATGAGAACACAAAATGCATAGTCTGAGGCCATTCAGTGAGGGCTGATTTTACAGAAGAGAACTTAAAAAGAACTGTGGTCTCTTTCTTCGCCTCCTCTCTTTCCTATTCAACCTGAGAACTACTTGCAGGTACTTTCAATAATACTATACTGGTTCATCAGTATTTTTAATAAGGGACATTTTTTTCCTTACAGGAGGACATGATAATGGTGTGTGTGTGTGGCCGGGGGGTGCATTTAAATGAACAGGAGATTATGTTTCCTATTTCTATGTTCTTTAACTACTCTTTAAAGAAGTTGTTTTCTTTGGGGATTTTCCTTTGCTTGTTTTTGCTAACTATATATGCATAAAGTCTTTTAATAAACCATCCCGGGAGGACCAACATTTTAAAAAATATGAAATAATGCTGTTATCATAATAAGTATAATTAAAATCCTGTTGAGAGCTTTGGTACATCAATTTTACATCTCAAGGAATACAACAACTGATAGCAGCACAGTCATTCCTGTGGAGAAGAATACCTTAATGAACAAATTTCAAACATTCAAAACTTCTCAAAGAAATTTCTACTTGTAGGACATGCTTTTGATGTCTGTGTTGGCAGATTCCTCTGGCACAAAAGCCCACATTTGACAGAAGTTGATAACCTTAGATTTTTACCCTCCACCCTTTTCTTTCAAGTGTGGTAGAAACATTTTCAGTGCTTTCTAAATGGCATAAATATTTTCAGATTTATTGACAGCCAGCAAGGAGAAAATTAATTTCCAATTTTTCCCATTTTGTTCCCTAACTCCTCACACTTACATCTGGCTCAGAATAGGATCTCCTTTAACAGAGCTGTCAGAAGCTAATCTCCCCACTGTGGCCTCCACTGCATGGGGGAGCAATTATTGCAAACACAGCATAGTTACAGTATCTCGGGCTATTTCTTCAGAGCAGGCGGGAAAAGGTCTCCAAAACAGAAATATAAACATTTGCACATGGGTGTTCTATACCCCACTAAACTGTGATGTTAGTGGATCTAACTTGCAAAAGATACCTGTTAAATAGCTACCAACTGATGTTAAACATGCTTTGAAGTTGTACGACTTATATATGAAACCTATTTTTTAGATGAAGTCAGTTTCAGGAGTATATACATTTCTCTCAGCAGTTCTATCTTGCCACCAATCAATCATTCAAAAGGCAGCTCCGTGGGTTTGATTTTTCACCGAGTTGTAACCATTGTGTGCTCAATGGCTTGCAGACAGACAACTCATGCACAAAAATAACAATGCTGAGTATATACACATGTAACATCATAGCTATTTTATGCTGTAACAAACCTCTTTTTTTCTCCTTTAGTAATATCATCAATATGGCCCTAACCTGCTGGCTAAAGTAAAAACTCTAAAATTAATACATAAATAAAAGATCATCATGGATAAACAAAATGTGGTCTATCCATACAATAAAATGTTATCTGGCAATAAAATGGAATGAAATCCTGATCTATGTTACAATATGGATGAACCTTAAAAACATGCCAAGTGAAAGAGGACAGTGACAGAAGGCTAAATATTGTATGACTCCATTTGCATGAAATGTTCAGAACAGCAAATCTAGAGAGACAGAAAGTAGATTAGTAGTTGCCAGAGGCAGGGGTAGTGGATAATGGGGAGTGACTGTTAATGGGTACAGGGTTTCATTTTAGGGTGACAAATTTGAAGTTAGATGGTGGTAATGATTGCACAATTTTGTGAATATAAACCACTGAATTATACATTTTAAAAGGATAAATTTTACAGTATGTAAATCCTATCTCAGTGAAGCTGTCATTAAAAAAAGGGGGGGGGATCAATAGCTGAGTCCAAGTAGAGTTCTTAAATATAAGAGGACTAAATATTTACATTTACTAAATATTTACATTTACTGCTACTTTGAATTTTATCTGGGTGAGCTCATCTTTATATCCTGGGATCTATTATTAAGACTGTAAAAGTATTTCTCTGTTACTACTGACTTTCAGAAACACGATCTCCTCTTATAAGGGATAATTCCACTGAGAGGTTAAGTCACACAGTGCTGTTCTTTGTTAACTAAGTGCATTCTATATCAATCCATCTAATATGATTTATTAAGTGAACAGGCCGTTTTAAGTAAATCTTAGGTCATCCAAATATTTGGATTGCGGTCACAAAAAATTTGTAGGTAGTTACTTAATTCACAGTAAACTACAGTATCAAAATCTAGACACATCTATTGCATTGCAACTAGTGACAATTATTAATCAATGAAAACAGAAAGCGTTTTAAATATAAATACTGACCTTGTTTCTTTTAACCCTTCTTTCTGAATGACTTCCAATATCTGCTTTGCTGTCATTGGTGAGTTGGGATGTTTTTCTAGTGCCTAAAAAATAAAAATAAACATAAGATTCCTAGATTATTGCATGGAAACATACAAAATAAAAACTTGCGAATCATGCAATCTTCACTTAAAGTCTTAGAAGGGACGGGGCTTTTATGTCAATGTAAGATCCCATCATACAGCTCAGGTGTACAAAAGAAGAATGTGATTTTTTGCTGGACATTTCAATTGGCAATTTCTGCAACTTATAAGGATCATTCTTCAAAAAATGTCACAAAGGCATACACACCAAAAAAGAACTGCAAAACCTAGAGACCAAGTTAATAAATGTATATAATTTCCTTTATTTAAAAAATTATCAATATTTTTTGGTTAAAGACTTGTTTTCAGGCTGCTAAAAAGTTTCCTAAGTTTCCAGGACGTTGGAAACATGGAGCCTGAATACTACCAATAACAGAGAATGGAGTGCCGGTCAGAAACAACCTCACTGGATTCATATTTTGATCATCCTCTTTTCTATTAAAAAAGAAAATTAAAACAAACAAAAAAACCTTCATAGCCAAAATGTTGAAAGAAGTATATAGGAGCCCAAGTAACTCATTACAGTGTGTTTTCCAGTTCAGCTCAGTTTCCTTTCCTTTGCCTTTTCCAATTAATTTCAAGTAAACCCTTTCCTCTTCCGATTCAGCCCATCCCAGTTTTATGAACTCAGTCCCATTTTCTTTTTCTCCCCTTCTGTCCTATTTATTCATTTGGGAATGGGGTTCTTTTAAACAAAGGGTGGGGAATACGTGGGATATAGTTGGTTATTTCCACAGGCATTAGTCCATCAGCCCTGGAAATCAGGTTCCTTTCCTGATGCAGGGACCTCACCATGTAGTAGGGCAGTAAGCAGCAGTGCCCACACTGCCTACCCACATGGAGTACTGGGCCCACATCTGGGTACAAGAAACAAGGCTATACGCATCTTCACAATGACCTTCTCCAAAGGTAGATGACTCCTAATTAAAGATGCTGCAGGGGAGTATCATGCATGTCATGTCCCCAAGCTACTTAAAGATATTAGAGCTCTAATTTATGATTATTTACTAGAAGGATCATAATTATTAAGAATTAACAGGGTCACCTGAAAAGTTAACATTGAAAAGGCTTCCAAATCTTTTTGAAATTGCTCTGTAATCTCTTCTACTGTCAGTGGCCACATTTCAAGTAGTTCAGAGCAAAGGCTCTGTTCATCAAGGTCCTCCAATGAGTTACACTCAGCCTGCCCCTCCTGACCTTTAGAGCACTTTCCTATTCTCCCCTTCCAGCTTTCCAGTTCCCAGGCAATTTCCCCCATTTTTCTCAATTCTGATCAGTCCCTTACTCATAGTAAGTTTTTTGAAGAATACAGAAATATGAGCCACACTAGAAAGAGTGTACCTATTCTCCCCTTCCAGCTTTCCAGTTCCCAGGCAATTTCCCCATTTTTCTCAATTCTGATCAGCCCCTTACTCATAGTAAGTTTTTTGAAGAATACAGAAATATGAGCCACACTAGAAAGAGTGTATGGTGACAGATATGTCGACAGGGCAGAAGAAAAAATGGTCCTCACAGAGGACGACACAGGAGAGCTGAACTCAAAACTGGAAAAAGAAAAAATAAACATAGGCAAAGCTGTATAAGGAAGAGGAGGAAAAATGAAAAATACCTGGAAAAAGGCAATAAGGAAACTGCATAACAGGGCTGAAAGGGGGAAAAATAGATCACAGACAAAGGGGTAAAGAAATAGACATGAAAACAAAAAAGCTGACAGAGCTTTTAAAATAAGAACCGCAAGCAGAACAGCACATACTTATGAATTACTGAAAGGAGATGCTGTGGTCACATGGGCTTTCTAGAGGGTGGATATCATCCCAAAAGAAAAGCAATGCTGGTAACACTCATGGTCTCTCATAAAAGATATGGGCAGAAGGTCAACAGACAGACACACAAGCAAGCAAGCAAGGAAGAGGGAAACTGGCGGGAAGAGACACAGGATGGTGGAAAGAGGGGGACAGAGGAGAAGGGAGAGAAAGGAGGAAAGTTGAGCTGAACTGGGAATGTCTAAAGGCAAACTGATTGAATCTAGAAAGGGCCGAAGAGGAAACTCCAGTGTACTGGACAACGTTTTAACAAAAATTTGGGTGCACTTGAAAGTGGGGTTACTCACTGTGGAGGATTCCCTGTTTCTCTTCCTGAGTACAGGCCCCTCAGCACACCTGGGCAGCTCCTCCCAGCAATTGAGAGAATTTGGATAGCCCTGTCCCCTTCTCTATGACATCACATCCTACTCTACAAAGGAAGTAAAAGTGCCAAGAATTACATCATGAGTGGATGAAAGGCAGGAAGGAAACGATGAAGCCACACAAAACACCAGAAGCCACCCTCAGTTCCTGCAAGACAGAGAAAGGAGACAGAGAAGGAGAGGATCCTGGGTGTGAACAAGTTTTACTGAACTAGCTATGTAAACATTACTAGAATGAAAGGGAAAAATTACCTTCACAGAACAAAACATTGATACCACCAAAATGTGACACATGGCAGAGACACGAATCAAGCTCACAGGCACCCATACTCTACAACACTAGAGCGGGGAGAATCTGCAATCAGAGCAAAATGGCAGCCTAAGCGACCAGGCCCGAATGTTAGATTAGCTGCCCATTGCCCCCAAAATCTCTCGGCCATAAGGTGCTGCTCTGGCCTTGCTGTTACTTATGTTTTTGATTTTTTAGCAAGCTATGCAAAGTTTTCTATTTTTACACAAGCAACTTCGTCAGTCTTTTCTATTGATTTCTACTGCTTAAATGTTTACAAATTCCTTTTATCCAGAGAGCACACAAATATCTACAAATGTTTATTTCAAGTATTTTTATAGTTTTATTTTTTAATGCACCTGGAATTTATATTTTTGTATTTGCGTAAATACCCATCTCCCATTAGTAAACCACATTTCCCCAACGTAATTTGTTTCACAAGCCACACACATGGTTAGTGTGTGGCTTATGAAAAAACTATGTTAATATAATAGTATTGATATATGGAATTCTCTCCCAAATATTAATACTAGGACAATGAAAACTTTTCATAATGTAAAACCTATATATAAATGTGGAACTCAATATGTAAAACTCACAAAAGCAGAGCTGTTCTTGTTGAGTTGAAGATGACAGCATTCAGAGACCACATATTTACTCCCTTTAATAACTAAAGGCACTTCTGAGAATCTTCAGGGTCTCTGGAATAAACTGTAAGCCACTGTCCCTGGGGCTTGTCCAGGGATCCCGTTAGGTTCCACTGATCTTTCACTCAATTGCAGTGACAGCACTACACTGTTTTAATTGCTGTAACATTACAATACACTTCACTCTCTGAAGAGGACACTGCTCCTGTTATTCCTTCTTAAGTTTCTAATTATTCACTTGTTTATTATTCCAGATGAAATTGAGATTGGAATTGAATGAAAGATCTAATTAAATTTTGAGGGAATTTACACACATTCCATTTACGGTTTATTTTATAAACTGCAATAAGCTTTTTAATTGCTTTATATTTTCTGTTGCAACTATGAATAAACTTTTTTCATAATAGTCTCACATTTTTTTTCTAATACATGTGAAAGCCACTGAATTGTGATAATTGTTATTTATATAAAGAGCTAATTGAATTCTTAATAGTTCTAACAGTATAGAAGGATAGAATCATATTTTCTACAAATAACGTGAATTGTGTCTCTTTTCTAATAGCCCTGTTTTATTTCTTTTTCCTTTTTTATTTACTTTGGCTGAAAATTGATCTTTTCTAGTTTGCTTCAAAAAAATGTTGCTGAAAATTTGAGCTACTGTATAATTTATTTCCTTAAAATCAGGCCCCTAAAACTGCCAAGATTTGCTAAAATATCCATAACTAGAATTATTAAAACTAATACTGCCAAGAGAAGACAGTAATTGGAAACCAATGACCAGGTATCACTCTGCTTAACACAAATCAGAGTCTGTCACAGTGTTCAATCTTTAATAAAATGTCCTTTCTTTCTTTCTAAAATAAATTGTTCTCCTATGTTAGAGCTATAGTTCTGATTTCACTTAACTCTCACTAAGATTGTCTTGATTCTCTTATGTACTGAAATCTTTCCAATTCTCGGCTTTCTTCTGCATTGCTACTCCATGAAAGATTTCAAATTCAACAGTCCCCAAAAAGGGGACTCTCCATGGCGAGGGACATAAAGCGCACATACAACCAGCTACCTTCCTAGCAATGGATCTTCTTCTAGTTTTCATATCGGGTTAACAGATATGCAGAACTAGCAAATATACCATTGGATTTCACTTTCTTTACTCGTGTTACTGACTATATCAGAGTCTATCTCAAACCCATCTAGATTCATACAACTTTGAGGCAAGACAGTGTCATCCCAGAAATTTCCTCCCCTCGACTTCTATATGTCCCAGTAGGAAGAGGGGGAAAAAAAACCTGCAAAAAAGAACAGCAATATAGTGAAGGGAAGGAAATAATGATTTGCTAAATCATTCAGGGCATGGGTCATATAAAGAATGCATTCTTCTTTAAGCACTTTTCTTGTCCGAGAACAATGGCTCAAACATTTTAAGGCTGATTCAAGAATTCCTTGGTGCCCTTCAAACAGAAAATTCATTTTAAGTATCCCTAAGATAAACATATTAGACCAGGTTCATTTAAAGGTTAAAATTTTGGCCCTTTTCAGGACCTAAAAAAAAAAAAAATTTCTGAGAGAGCTTACTTATTTGATTGCAAAATACAAACAAAGAAACTCTATAATTTAAAAACCATTTCGATGACGTATGCTTACATTTGTGGACTCCTAAGTGGGTATCAATGACCAGGTTTTCTCCCTTTTTCTAAGATTAGTGTGTCTTCCCTTAATGCATACTGGCAGTTCATTACAGTGTTTAGATGTTTAGGGTCTCATGTCCTAGGTAAACAATTATGAGGTTATAACAACAATAAACCATTATATAGCTCCCCACAATTACCGAATTCTTTCAC